TTTTATTTATTTATTATATTTGTAAATTGTACTTATGTTGAAATTTAAAAATATTTATTACAATACTATTTTTGCATTCTATGAAAATTTTTGTTGCTTCATATAGACCAAATTTTTAATCAAGAAACCCCCCCACCCCCCACTCCCTGGTTAATGGTGTCCTGCTTTACCAATGTTAAAATCTGGTCACCTTACTCTAAATACAAAATTTACAATTTTCTTTCTTTTTTAAAAAAAAATATTTTTTTTATTAATTTCAGAGAAGAAGGGAGAGGGAGAGAGAGAAAAACATCAATGATCAGCTGCCTTCTGCATGCCCCACACTGGAGATCAAGCCCACAACCTGGGCACGTGCCCTTGACTGTAATCAAACCCACGACCCTTCAGCACACAGGCTGATGCTCCATCGACTGAGCCAAACCAGCCAGCGCCACAATTTTCTTTCTTATGTCTTGTTCTCCAGGCTTTGGAAGCATTAAGGTAAACAGGACAGTCCCTTTGCCCTCAGACACTTCCCTCTAGTGGTAGGACCACGCACTAAAGCAGAAAGGAGGGCCTGAGAAGAGCACCCTCAGCCAATGCTGGTGCAGGTGACGCGTGGGCGTGCCTGTTTCTGAGATGAATGACAGCCGTTTCCTCCATGCCCTAACATATCAGAGAACCGTCTGCTGCTCTCCTGGGGAGGCACTTTCACACAAAAGTGCCTTTGCTTATAAGAGCACTCTGCACCTCAGTAAAGGCATCTCACTTATCACCTGGGTAATTTCGGCAAGTTAGGTTACTCCATTTGGCCTGCTTTATCTTTTGTAAAGTAATGATAACAACAGTATTACATACATGGCTTTTTTGAGAAGTAACTAAGATGAGGATGTGAAACATTGTGGCAGCATATTATATGTATGCACAATAAATGTTAGTTGTTATATTTTCTTGAGTCAAAACTGGATTTCTCATTAAAACATTTAGCATACCCAATCATAAGACTCCTACTGTCATCTTTCTCTCTCTCACACACATACACAATTCTCTTATTTTCTTTGCATGAGGAACTGAGTCATTGGGCCTAAGCCTCAAAAGTTGGCTGGAATGATGGCTTAGGCCAATAGATTTCCTTTTCTTTCTTTCTCTTTTTTTTTTTTTTTCCTTTTATTTTAGTGGAACCTTCAATAAGGCAGGAATTTTACTGTTAAATATAATACTTGGGTCCCTGTGTATGTGTGTACACATGTACACATGCACATACAATAAAGTCAGAAGGAGTAACAACACCTCTACATGCAAAGCACTCTGACTTGCTATTTTTTTTTATTTTTATTTTTTTTAATATATGCTGGTCCCAACCAACTAAATTGATTTCATAAACCAATTTTTAAAATGCTGCATTACGGTACCATCTCACACCTGTCAGAATAGCCAACATCAACAAATCAACAAACAAGTGTTGGCGAGGTTGGGGAGAAAAAGGAACCTTTGTGCACTGCTGGTGGGAATGCAGACTGGTGCAGCCACTGTGGAGAACAGTATGGAGTTTTCTCAAAAACTGAAAATGAAACTCCAATTTGACCCAATAATCCCACTCCTAGGAATATATCCCAAGAAACTAGAAACACCAATCAGAAAAAATATATGCACCTCTATGTTCATAGCAGCACAATCTACAATAGCTAGAATTTGGAAACAGCCTAGGTGCCCGTCAGCAGATGATTGGATCAAAAAACTATGATACATCTACACAATGGAATACTATGCTGCCATAAAAAAGAAGGAATTCTCATCATCTGCAGCAACCTGGATAGAATTGGAGAACATCATGCTGAGTGAAACAAGCCAGTCAATGAAAGAGAGACACCACATGACCTCACTTATTTATGGATGATAAAGAACATTATAAACTGATGAACCAAAAGATATAGAGACAGTAAAGCAACAAGCAGACTGTCAAATTACAGCGGGGAGGGGAGGGAGATCTGGGGGAGATAAGAGATCAACTGAAGGACTTGTATACATGCATATAAGTACAACCAATAGACACAAAACTCTAGGGAGGGAAGGTATGTATGGGGGGGGGGAGGCAATGTTAAAATATGTACACAGATAATAATTTAATTAAAAAAAGAAAAATAAATAAAAAAAATAAATAAAATGCTGCATTAGACTACTTTGCACATTACTTTAAAAAAAAGGTGACCTATTTGTAATTCATTATTCTATCATTGCATACTACTTACAAAGAAATGCTGAGTAACACTGAAATTAGCTTTTAAGTATTCATATGACTATGAAGCCACATCATATTCAACTTCAAATATTATATCTTTTAACAAATATCCAAGTTCATCTAGCAATTTCTGGGTTAATCAAGAAACTGATACTAGGCAGAAGAAACTAAGATGGCGGCATAGGGTAGACACCGGAATGCAGCCTACCACAACAAATTTGAATTTAGAACTGAAAACAGGGGAAACATCGCCCTGAAGTGCAGAGGCTCTGCCATCTGGGAAGAGAAGAAGGCACACTGAACCTCAGGAACTGAGAAGGTACTAAGAACTATGCGCGCGAAAAGGCGGCTGAAGAGTTCGCTGCCGGCTTGCTTGCAGAGCGCGGAGAGGGCGGGCTGAGTTTGCTGCTGGCTTACTCCCTGCACGCGGAGAGGGCAGACAGCTAATGCGCGGCTGGCTTTCTTGTTCGGGAGGAAAAGAGAACCAACCTATTGCGCTGATAGACGGCCCCAGACAGAGAGAGGCCAGACTGTCAGGCAGTGGGCAGAGATCTCTCGGAGGTGTGTGAAGCCAGCGGCCATTACTGCACGACTCAGAAACCAGACCATCACAGGGAGGGGCAGAATAAAGCTTGTCTGCACCACCCGAGACTCTGCCCCATCCAAGCAGAGCACAGAAGCCCTTCCAGTGGCTAGCTTTCTCATTCATAGCCAATGGGACTCTCCTAGGGAGTGACAGACAGGAATCTAAAGCTTGTCTGCGCCTATAACAAAGAGGTGGGTGCACCTGTCACCAACTGTGCGGGACTCAACAAAGCTTGTCTGTGCCACCCCGACACTCCGCCCCATTCAAGCGGAATACAGACACTTCTGATCCTCATAGCCAATTGGCTTGGAGATCAATGCTTCCCAGTGATACCAACAACAAGCAAGGCGTAACAACAAGACTGAACACACAGCCCACAAAGGGCTACACCAAAACTGTCCACCTCAGGTAACTGGGAGGCTGACTCACTGAACCATATAGAACACCTTAGCACACAAAGCCACCCTACCAACTCAGGGAAGCTGTGAAAATGCCGAGACAAGGAAACAGATCACAAACAAAAGAAATGGAGAAAAAGAAGAGACTGGACATAGAGTTCAAAACCATGCTTATAAGATTTTTCAAGAATTTCCTAGAAAAGGCCGCTAAGACCTATGAGGATATGAAAAGGCATCAACAAGAATAAGGGATCAACAAGAAATAATAAGGGATGAATAAGAAATAAAGAATACATTGTCTGAAATAAAAAATATTATACAGAGTCCTAAAAACAGAATTGAAGATTGCAAGAATCAAGTCAAAGATTTGGAACATAAAGAACCAGAAGACACTCCTCCACAGAAGCAAGAAGACAAGAGAATCCAGAAAGTTGAAGATAATGTAAGAAACCTCTGGGACAACTTCAAGCGAACCAACATCAGAATTATGGGGGTCCCAGAAGATGAGAGAGAGCAAGATATCGAAAACACACTGAAAGAAATAGTGACAGAAAACTTCCCCCACCTGCTGAAAGAATTAGACTTACAAGTCCAGGAAGCGCACAGAACTCCAAACAAAAGGAATCCAAAGAGGACCACACCAAGACACATCATAATTAAAATTCCAAGAGCAAAAGACAAAGAGAGAATATTAAAAGCAGCAAGAGCAAAGCAGGTAGTTACCTATAAAGGAGCACCCATAAGATTGTCAACAGAAACCATGCAGGCCAGACGGGAATGGCAAGAAATATTCAAGTGATGAATAGCAAGAACCTACAGCCAAAGATAATCTACCCAGCAAAGCTATCACTCAGAATCAGAGGCCAGATAAAGAGCTTCACTAATCAAAAAAAGCTAAAGGAGTTCATCACCGCCAAACCAGAATTATATGAATTGCTGAAGGGGGTTCTTTCAGAAGAGAAAGTAAATAAAGATAAAAACTATGAACAACAAATACATAACTATCAACAAGTGAATCTAAAAACCAAGGGAATTTAAAAAAAAAAAAATCTGATGAACAATATTAACTGGTGAATGTAATAGAATCAGAGGTATGGAAGGGGAGTGAACTGACGATTATCGGGAAAAAGGGGAGAGGGGGGTGTGGGAAGAGACTGAACATAAACTGTATACCTATGGATAAGGACAATGGGGAGTGGGGAAAGGGCAGAGGGTGGAGTGGGAACCTGGTGGAGGGGAGCAATGGAGGGGGGGATGAGGAACATTTGTAATAATATGAACAATAAAGATTTATTTAAAATAAATAAATAAATAAATAAATAAATAAATAATAAAAGAAACTAATACTAAACATGTGCTATTAACATAATTCTACCTAATAGAACTACTAAGTCTTTTCCTCTTTGCAACGGCAAAGAGCTCCACGTTTCAAGACTGAGTAACTCTGACCACAAATGGAATATTAACATGCTCTTAAAGATATCAACAGCTGGCCTCCCGGTTCAGTAAGAAAGCACTTGTGTTATTAGCTTTTCTACCCTCAAACAAGATACCTGCTGGGAAATTCCATCTCCTCTAAAGAAACATGTGTCAATGGTGTGCCAGGGAAAAGTGAGCTCTGGAATTAAAGGTTCCTATACAACAAAGTCCAGAATTTCTGCTTATCCAATTGCTACATTAAAAATGGAGAGAGAAAAAAAAAGCAGGAAGAGAACATAACTCTAACTCATGCTACTTAAAATTAAATCTGGAGAGCAGCTTTCAGAAGAACCCAGGAAGACAGAGATGTGGAACTTACATCTGCATTGTCACTGCTGGGCCATGATGCATCTCCGCTGCTACAGTCAACTCTGCCTAGTCCGTCACCAGAGTCTGCTTCCACCGCACTGACTGCTGGGGTGTCACTGAAAGGCTTGGAGGATGTGATTATAGCTCCATCCTAAGATGGTTTAAACACAAACACATTAAAAAGACTTTCACTGTGGGTTGCATAAAGAAATGGAGTTGCACTACAATCTAAAGAGCACTAACATCCGGCCAGTTTGATGTGATCAAGAACACCTAAAGATCTAAAAGTTAAAAACATAAACAACTACTAATTCTGTGGTTCTAAAATGGCAATGATCAAAGACAGTTTAGCATGAAGGAAAAAAGTTTGTATTTCCATATAGAATGTAAAGGTAAAACAGTTTGTTAAGCTACATTTTGTAAGATCTTATAACTATACTTAAAAACATGACTTCTATTTCCTGCCCATTCGTAAGATTATTACACATAGCATCTGCTTCACTGCCTTTCAACACTTCAGAATTTCAGTAAATCACAAATACTGAGATACAATGCTATACCACAATGATAAGCTTTTAGATCAGGAACCACACTTTTACTCTTTGAAGACAGTAAGAATGTTGTCTATGCTCAGTAATAACATAAAACTGGCAACAAAACTGAAGGGTAATTCTAAAAACATCTATGAATGTTTTTGGAACTGAAAGTGATGAAAAAATAAATAATGTGTAATAGAAACTACACTAAGCCAGCAAGACAGGACACCTTATGACTGTGATCTTATGGAAGTCATGTAACCAGTTTAGGCCCTAGTTCTCACCACCTTAGCTAAATATCCTACATCTGAATATTATCTATAATAGAGGATTTTACAAATTGTCCAGGACGCCATCACAGTAAAAACCGAACAGCAGGTTGTGTGGGGTGATGATAAGGCCAGCAGGGGGGTTAGTGAGAGATGACCAAACAACTGAACAAGCAGGCTGCGTGGGGCAACCAGGTCGGCAGGGGGTTAATAAGGGATGACCAAACGACTGACCAGAGGCTGCATGGAGTGAATAGGCCGGAAGGAGGGTTAGTGAGGGACGGCCAGGCCAGCAGGCAGGCAGGTGAGTGATTAGGAGCCAGTGGTCCAGAATTATGAGAGGGATGTCTGACTGCCAGTTTAGGCCGGGATCAGGCCTAACCCAGCAGTCGGACATCCCCCAAGGGGTCCCTGATTAGAGAGGGTACAGGCTGGGCTGAGAGGGAACCCCGCCCTCTGTGCACAAATTTTGTGTACCAGGCCTCTAGTAGATTATAAACCTGGTTGAGACTTAATGCTAAGCTATTTTTCTTAATCACACCATCATCTCCATACTTACCATGTTTTCCGGCGTATAAGACGACCCCCTAATTTTACAGTTAAAACATAGGTTTAGGCCTATATTCGCTGTATAAGACTACCCCCCACTTCCGAGGCAACACCAGTTCTTTCTTTAATAGGCCGCCTCTCTGACTCTGGCCAATCTGAGCAGGCTTTTTACTAGAACACAGTGTAGCTTCGGGTACAGAACATGTACACTGTGTTCTAGTAAAAAGCCTGCTCAGATTGGCCAGAGTCAGAGAGGCGGTCTATTAAAAAAAGAACTGGTGTTGCCTCGGAAGTGGGGGGGTAGTCTTATACAGCGAATATAGGCCTAAACCTATGTTTTAACTGTAAAATTAGGGGGTCGTCTTATACGCCGGAAAATACGGTATACTTACATACCAAGTTCAGTTGAAATCTATTTTAAAATTACAATGAAACGAGAGTATTAGGAATGTGAATGTGCTTTGAATTCATCAGCCTGGGCTTAAGTTCCATTCCATTGCTTCTGAGCTACATGATCTCAGCAAGTTATTTCATCTTTCTGAATTCTGTGTGTGTGTAAAACGGGGGACACACACACACATCAGAGCTCTAGTCTAAGAGGGCTGCTGTTCAGAATAAGAAATCCTGTCCATTTGTAAGATCTAATACCTATACTTAAAAACATAGTTGCAGAAGGAACCTCAAAAATTACATTTTAATAATTTGTCATGTTAAAGCAAAAGCAGTCTTTTTTAAATTATTGTGAAAAAAAACAACACATTAAATCATGAGCAAGGCAATAATCAAAGCCCACATTTCTATTAATGAACCATTATTTCTGCCACGCCCTCCACAGGGCCGCTGTTAGGAAATAACGTTTACAGCAGTGCTGGGTGCTCTGGGCGCTCTCACAGAGCATGCTCCCAAACAGGCCAGGAGGCTCCGGGGTTGCTACCTGCGGGGGGCCAGCGGCTTTGGAGAGCTGCTCCTGCAGCTGAGGGAGGAGTTTCTTGGCCTCTTGGATCTCTTTTAGCAACTTTGGGGTAGGAGCTCGGTTGTAATCTTCCTGCAATAACTGAAAAGTTATAAAAAGATTTTAATAATTGATTGCTTATGTCAAGAAAATAGAGAGTCTATTCTTAATCAAACAGTTGATGGCCTGCGACTCTGAGAAGCCCGTCGCATTCTGACTGCCTGGACACAGCCCTTTCCTAAGGCAGTACCTGCAGCCGTTCCTGTTCTTTCTGTAACATTTTTCTCAGAATTTCTACTTTCTGGTTATGAACCACATTGTTTTCCTCCTAGAAAAAGATAAAAAAAAAACAACCAACAAACAAAAAAGAACCAATACAGGGAAAGTGAAGCTAAAATAAATAAGGAAAACGAGACATATAATGTATGCCCCAGCTCTGAGTTTTTCAATTTTTATTATGATTTTCTTTATTTCCATCACTTATAAGGATGGACTTTTAGACATGACATGAAAGATAAAAGATTGCAGGGAAATGTTAGCCCTTTTCACTTTTCCTAAACTAAACACAAGAAAACATTAAGTACTTATATTAGTTGGGAAAACGAAGCTGGCCTAAGTATAGGAATAATACAGTTTCCCATCGTTAGCTCATTACTGTCAGCCCCATGCATGGATTCCTGCTGACCTCACACCATCTCTCCTTGTTTTATGACCCTTTATTTAATCAAACTAAAATCCTGTTATAACCATAACACTCTCTTGCTCAAAAGAAATTTTAATGGATCTTACTGCGTATCTAGTTACATATAAAGTAGCCTGCAGTTGTGAGTTTGGTGAAAATAAACAGTCCTAAGTTTTCAAGCTCCTCTCCCACTACATAAATCCTTAATACATAATCCTCTCCCACTACATAAATCCTTAACGGGCACCAGTTGCTTCCAAAACATATTTGGTGCTTTCTTGGCTCTTTCCCTCTACCTCCTCTAACTGAGCTGCCTTCGTTTCCATTGCCACCACTTACACGTTACCTGTTTTTCAAGGCTCAATTAATAAAGTAGCTTTCGGCGAAGTCCTTCCTTTTCACAACTGGATGTACTCCCCCACCCTTGGAATTCTTATAGAACTTACTATTTTCCCCTCATGTCACATTCTGCCTATGTATTATAATTACTTGCATACACTTGACTCCATCTTAAACAACAAAGGTTTATTAAGCACCTACTATACGCCAAGCACTAGGTACTTTTTTTCAGAAAATAGAGGCTCAATAATAAACAAAACAAACAAACAAACAAACAAACAAAAAACCCATGTTCTTTCAAAGTATGGAACTTGAACGCAGGATATTTTAAATATTTTTGTGAGAGGCAAATGGTTTTGTAGATAGTAGGTGTTTAATATTTTTTAAATTAAATCTCCTATCCCAATACTCAGCAATCATTCCAAATTACATCTGACCCTTGAACAATGTGCGCATGAGGGATGCCAGCCCTCCGTGCGGTGGAAAAGCTCCGTGTGACTCTCTACTCCCCCAGAACTTTACTAGCAGCCTATTATTGACAGGAAGTCTTACCAATAACAGAAACAGCCAATCAACACATATTTTGTATGTTACTTGTATTAAATACTAAATTTTTACAAAAAAGTGAACTAGAGAACAGAAAATGTTATTAAGAAAATCATAAGGAAGAGAAACTACATTTACAGGGCTGTATGTATTTATTGAAAAGAAAATCCATGCATAAGCGGACCTGCACTATTCAAACCCATATTGTCTAAGGGTCAACTGTATTATGTAATTATTACATCAGAAAATTATTTTCTGGAACCTTGAACTTAAATTTTCTTACCAGCTCAATATCACAAAATTCTGAATATAAAAAGTAAAGGTATTATGCAACTGAGTTTGCAAAGACGTTTCCCGCTCTTACCCCCATGAGCACAGGACTGGTAATTCTTTCCATGTTCCCAGATGCTCCCGGTGAGTGAGGAGAGGTCGTGATAGGAGACATATGTCCAGTGACGGATGGCTCTACTTCAGAATCAGCAAGTGGGATCTGGGGCATCCCAGGGGGGCGTCCTTGAACAGTGAGAGCTACATAGGAACCAGCTGGGTGAGAGATAGAAGGGAAAGGAGCTCTGTAAACAAGTTTCTACAGCATTTTACTCCTTAGCCTTTGACAGTTCTAAAAGTACCCAGTCATGTGAGAAAGCTTCACCGACTGCTAACCACTGGCCCACATAAAAACCACCCAGTGCTTTTTTATGAATTCTCTAAGAATCTAAAAGAACAATGTTATTTTCAGATAGCATATTACTACTCATAATATTTAAAAGCAAATAAAATGTATAACCCCCCCAATTTTTTAATTAGAGAAGTGTGAATTAATATCAACCATCTACTAATGGCTATGTTTAATTAATTTCATAAATGCAAAGCTCTAGCTAGTTTGCTCAGTGGATAGAGTGTCGGCAGACAGACTGAGGGGTTTTGGGTTTGATTCCAGTCAAGGGCACATGCCCAGGTTGCAGGCTTGATCCCCAGTAGAGAGCATACAGAAAGCAGCTCTTCAATGCTTCTCTCTCATCATTGATGTTTCTATCTCTCTCCCTCCCTCTCCTTTCCTCTCTGAAATCAATAAAAATATTTTTTTTTAAATTTTCCTTAAATGCGAATTATTAAAAATCATTTAAAGATATTAATTAGGCAGAGTTTAATTAATTTTCTAAAATATGCCATTTTAAATTAACTTTACTAAATAAAATTGACAAAAAGTATCCCACAAAACCATCAATAATTAAGTAACACGTTTTATTTTTAAAACTCATCAGAGAAGGGGGCAAGATGGCTGTGGGACCCGGAGACTCCGTGCCCGTGCTCCCAGCCCGGCTGGCCTTACAGCTGAAATGTTGCGCGGTTGCCTGGAAAAGTAGGAGTGCTGCTAACTGGACGTGTGTGTAAGGAGCACTGGAGAAACAGCACAGAGACTGTAAGAGGGGATCCCCTGGGACGGATGCTCAGCTGAGGCCCAAGTGATATTGGCTACAAAGTGCCCTCCACGCAGGGACCCCCAACCCCAAGCAGCAGAGCCTGGAAGGAGACCCACACAGCATTGGGCAAAGAGGCCCAGGGGGCTCTGGCTGTCTAGGAGGCTGGGTCCTCCCTTCCCCATGACAGAATATGCCAGGTGCTGGCTGCCTCAAGGGGATTCGCCGCAGGCTCTGACTGCTGAGGCTGCACAGCAGTGTTTGGTTCAAAACATACAGGGCCTAAGGGCCGCACCCAGCAGTGATTTGAAGGATGCTGGGCTTTCCTGAAAGGCTTGTGCAGAATCCAAAGAGCATGGCGTCCCCACCTGTAGTGCAGGGTTGGGACCCCGCCCGTACCTATGGAGCCGCAGGGTTGGCAGCAGGCAGGGGATTTTATTACTAGGGTTCTGGTGCACGAAATTCGTGCACTGGGGGTGGGGAGGGTCCCTCAGCCCAATCTGTCCCCTCTCGCATACTGGAAGCCCTCAGGGAATATCCTTAGGCCCACGGGGAGCGGGCGTAAGCTGCAGTCTGATCAGCGAAAGGCACCAGCCCCATCACCCCACTGCTGCAGCCCCTGCCAGTCACCACAGCCACTAAGGTGTTTTCATCAACGCAGACTCCAGTCCCTTCACCATGAAAACATGACAACTTTCTTTAGGCATTTTCAAGATGTGTCTTCATAGGATATGTATTTCTTTCTTTATTTATTCTTATCCTCACCTGAGGATATATTTCCATTGACTTTTAGAGAATGTGGAAGAGAAAAGGAAAGACAGAGAGAAACATCAGTGTGAGAGGGACTCTTCAATTGGTTGCCTCCTGCATGAGCCCTGACCTGGGCCCCAGCCAGGAAGGAGCCTGCAACCTAGGTTCATGCCCTCGATCAGAATCGAACCCAGACCCTGTGATTGGCAGGCCGAGGCTCTCTCCACTGAGTCAAACTGGCTAGGACAGGGTATGACATTTCTTAGCCCCTCCAGCAACAGACCTTACTTTTTCCTCCAGGAGTGAGGTGGAAAAACCCTAGATCACCTCCTTGGGTTCTTATTATCCAAGTCACTAAGAATATTACCAGTGGCATACAGGAAGCTTAGCCAGTGAGCGGTCAGAAAAGGTGTTTCCTCTATAGTTCACACCAATTGCCGGCTGGACCCTGCCCAGGCCTCTGGCCTCTGGCCTCAGCTTTAGGCCTGGGCAGGGCCCTCCAGCTCCCGCTGATCACGGGCTCACCCCTGCCCAGGCTGCCCAGACCGAAAGCCTTGGGCAGGGAACCCCAGGTTCCCTGTGATTGCAGGCTGCGCCCCTTGGGCCGGGGACCCCCAGTTCCCTGTAATCCATCACAGGCTCCGCTCCTGCCCAAGGCCCAAAGCCTCCAGCTTGGGCAGGAGTGGACCCCCAGTTCCCTGCAATCGATCACAGGCCAAGGTGGAGGCTTTCAGCCTTGCACATGAGCAGGCCCCCAGCTCCCTGCGATCAATGGCAGGCTCCGCTCATGCCCCCTCGTTCTGACTGCAGGCTTGGCCCTGCCCAAGAGCCTACTGGCTCAGACCCTTCCCAGGCTGCCTTACCTCACAGTGACCTGGGTGCCAGGATGTTCCTGGGACACAGGCGCTGGGAGCCTATGTATGCAAGTTAACTGCCATATTTTGGGTTAATTTGCATATTCACTCTGACTGGCTATGGGCATAGCGAAGGTATGGTCAATTTACATGTTTATTATTAGGTAAGATTTTGTTAACCTTACCTGAGGATGTTTTTCCATTGATATTTAGGGAGAGTGGAAGAGAGAGGGAAAGACAGACAGAAAAATCGATGTGAGAGAAACACATTGACTGGTTGCCTCCTGCAAGAGCCTAACCAGGGCCTGGCTGGGGGAAGAGCCTGCACCTAAGGTATGTGCCCTTAGCCAGAATCAAACCTGGGACCCTTTGGTCTGCAGGCCAAGGCGCTATCCACTGAGCAACACCAGTGAGGCTAGATGGGGATCTTAAGCCTGCACTGAAGAGAGGGGAACATAAGTGGAGCTGGGGTAACTGGCCCCACTGTACTGAGACCAGCCAGTGGAGACTTCAGTCCTGAGTGGGACCGACTTCGTAATCCTTCTGCTTGGACCAGGGGCACAGGGTACCGGTCCTGGCAGAGCTGAGCTTTTCTATGCGATCCCATGGGAAGGCTTCTACTGCGGAGACAGAGGAGGGAGAGCTGGCTTTGTGACTGCATTGTGGAAACCCATCCAAACTCCATGTGTGTCCAGGCGGCCAGGCCCGGGAGGAGGAGTGGAGCTTGTCTCCCCCTCTTGTGGGCTAGAAACACCCCTAGTTAAAGGAGACCAGATCACCAGATCCCCTGCTGGACACATTTGGGGGGGAGGGGGGAAGCAGTAAAACAGAGTAGGACATCCTGAGAGTAAGACCCTCAGAGGCCGTTGTCTAGCAGCAGAAAAGGCTTAGCCCGGTCCTGGGGACGAGACTGGCAACATTCTCAATCGGGATCTCTTTTGATAAATCCCCCTGAGCCAGGGCAGCAGAAACTTCTCCTGCAGAATGGGTGGCAGGCCGTGTCCAACCTGAGCCTGCATCAGGTCACCTGACAGGGAACTAGAGTTGGAGGATGTGGCTGACTGACGTGTGGCTACGGAGCAGAGGCACTCCCCCTCAGTGAGAGCCTAATGAGTCATCTCTAAGCCGGGGTCCACTAGCTCTAGCTGTGCTTGCCTGGCTTCACCCTGAAGACTCTTTAGAAAACACTGGAGGAAAACCAGGCACTTGACGGGGGTGTGTGTGTGTGTGTGTTTGTGTGTGTGTGTGCAGAGTAGCTGACTTGTGGAGCGGACCTCAGAAAGCCTCAGACTGACCAACGCTGGGACAGGTCACCAGAGCCAAATGTGGCTGACACAGAAGGACCTCCCGGAAGCCTGAAATCCAAATACAGACCGTGCGCATGATCGTGTCCCACCCAGATGAGCGCCGCGTGGCTGGGTTTTGTTGTTGTTCTTTTTTCAATATTTCCTTCCTTATTACTTTAGTATTATTGCCATTAATATTTTGGTTCTTTTCTCTCATATCTTATAAGCCTCCTTCCTTTTATTTCTTTTTCCTGTTCAGTCTTTATCAATTTACCTTTACCTTTCTCTTCTTTTAATTCTGCATAACTTTTCCCCTTTCTTTCTGTGTTCTTGTCTTTTTTTTTTTTACCATTTTCCTTTTCTTACTCTCTACTCATACTTTTTCCTTGCTCTCCCTTTGTTTTTTAATAATTTTTTCTGCCACTTTTCCACTATTCTCTTTTTTTTTTTTCATTTTGCTATTAGTAATATTACCTTTTCCTCTTTCTTTTTGTTTACTATTCTTGTTTTCTTATCTCTTTAGAAATTCTCTTCACTTTTGTGGTTGCTTTCCTTATCAGAACATGTAAAACAGCTCAAACAACATGGATATGGGTGAGCCTTACAGTTAGCCATCCTGAGAGGAGAGCCCACCCACAAACAGGACAACAACAATCAAGACCAAATTATAACAGGAGAGCCCAAATAGCCCACAAAAGGGTTACTGCTAAGGCATACAACTCAGCAGTAGAAGACACTGGGTCCACAGAATATGTAGTAAAAAAGCCCACCCCAAGAAGACTGGGAGTCATAGCAAGTATATCTAATTTACAGATACAAACACAAAGAGATACTTAAAAAGGGGAGACAAAGAAACAACCCCCAACTTAAAGGAAAGGAGGTAGAGCCAGAAAAATAGATAAATAAGATGGTGAGAAAGTTATCAGACATACAGTCCAGAATAATGGTTATAAAGATGCTCAGGAACATAGTGAGAATGACAAGGAACTTAGTGAGAACTACATCAGCATGAAAAAAAGCCACAGAATTAAGAGCCACGCAGAAATGAATACTATTTAGGACATCAAGAATACACTGGAAGGAATTAAAAGCAGGCTTGATGAAGCAGAAGATAGAATAAGTGAATAAGAAGACAAGGTAGAAAAAACAACAACAGTCAATCAGAGCAGCAAAAAGAAAAAATACTTAAACATGAGGACAGTTTAAGGGAACTCAGGGATACCATCAAATGAAACAACATCCACATCATAATGTTACTAAAGGAAAAAGACAGTGAGCAAGGAATACATAACCTGTTTAAAATAATAATGATAGAAAACATCTCTAACCTGGTGAAGGAGAAAGCCACACAAGCTCAGGACTCACAGAAAGTACCAATCAATATGAACCCAAAGAAACTCAACTCCAAGGCACATAGGCACATCATAATTAAAATAGCAAACATTAACACATTAAGACCCATGGCAGTCACCAGAGACTGACACTATACTTTCCATCCAAAACAGGCTGGGTGCTTAATGTGTTAAAGACAAAGAGATAATTTCAAGGGCAGCAAGAGAGAGATAATCAGTGACCTACAAGGCAGCTCCCATAAGGCTCTCAAATGAGTTCTCAATAGAAAAACTTTAGGCCAGAAGAGAATGGCAGGCAATATTGAAAGGAATGAAAAGTAAAGATCTGAAAAGCAGACTACTCTATCTAGCAAAGCTATTATTCAAAATTAAAGGTGAAATAAAAAGCTTCCCAGAAAAAAAAAAAGGCCAAAGAAGTTTACCACCACCAACCCTACAATGCAAGAAATGCTAAAAGGATTTCTATAAGAAGAAATAGAATGAGAGAGGACCAAAACCATGAAGAATACAAATAACAAAAAATAAGTACCTATCCTATAAAGAGAGAATATGCAAATTGACCATCACACCCATCACAAAGATGGCAGTGCCCATAGCCACTGATGGTGGTGCCCAGTCCCCTTAGCCCCAGTGGGGAGGAATGGGGGGTAGGCACGCAGTGCGGCTAGACCAGCCCTCAGCCCCACAGCCACCTAGGGCTGGCCCGAGACGCAGGCAAGCCTTGGATGGCGGCTGTCCAGCCAACACCCAAGGCACAGGAAAGCCTCGGATGTCAGCTGCACAGCTGCCCAGGGTGGGCCCAAGGTGCAGGCAAGCCTTGAATGGTGGCTGCCCAGGCATCCAGGGCTGCCTAAGGCTTGCTCTGCTGGCATGGCAGCAGCAGAGATGTGATGGGGGCAACGCCTTCCGCTGATCACCAGGCCGCCTCCCATTCCTGAGGTCTCCTAGACTGTGAGAAGGGGCAGACCGGGCTAACGGACACCACCTCCAGTGCATAAATGTTCATGGATTGGGCCTCTACTCTATTATAACCTTAAATATAAATGGATTAAATGCTCCAATAAAAAGACATAGGGTAGATGACCGATATATATGATTCTATAAGAGTTAGATCTCATTATAAAAGACCCAACCAGAATAAAAGTGAAGAGATGGGAAAATTTTCCATGCATATGTAAACATAAAGAAAAGCATAAATATAATACTTACATATGACAAAATAGACTTAAAAGCAAAGGCTATAACAAGAGACAAAGAAGGTCACTTCATAATACTAAAGAGATTGATCCAACAAGATAATATAACCCTGTAAACATATATACTTCCCCTATAGGAGAACGTAGGGAGAGATCAACAGCATTACAGTGGCAGGGGACTTTAACACCCCACTAACATCATCAGATATAACTTCCAAACAAAAACCAATAGGAAATGATGACTTTCAACGACTCTACATCAAATGGATTTAACTGAAAGTTTATACAACATTTCACCAAAAACAGCAAAATATACGTTCTTCTCAAGGGCAAACAAGACCTTCTCAAAGACAGACACGTTAGGACACAATGTAAGTCTCTGCAAGTTCAAGAAGATTGATTTCATATTAAGCATATTCTTGAATCACAATGGCATAAACTAGTTACCAACTACAATAAAAACACTAAAAAACAATCAAACACATGGAGGCTAAATAGCATGTTATTAAACAATGAACGAGTTACCAATGAGCTTAAGTAAGAAATCAAAAGCATCCTGGAAACGAATAAGAATGAACACACAACAACCCAAAATCTACGTAACCAGGGAAAGCAATTCTGAGAGGGAAATTCACAGCAATATAGGCCTACCTAAAGAAACAAGAAAAAGGACTAATAAACTATGTAACCCTACAAATAAAAGAATCAGAAAGAGAATAGTAAGAAAAGCCCAAAGTAGGTAGATGGAAGGAACAAATAAAAATCAAAGGAAAAATAAATGACATAGAAACTAAAAACAAAACAAAACACAACGCAAAAGAGCAATGAAACCAAGAGCTAGTTCTTTGAAAATATAAACAAGGTTTATGAACCTTTAGCTAGACTCATCAAAAAACTGAGAAGGTTCAAATAAAAAGAATCAGAAATGAAAGAGTTGAACTGACATCATAGAAATTCAAAGTGTTCTAAAAAATACTACAAAAAAACACTATGAGAAACCACAAGCTGACAGGAGGAAATCCCAAGGGTCCTTAGCATGCTGCAAAGGCGCGAGGCTCCTGCCACCGCCACTGTGCTCACCAGCCATGGGCCCAGCTTCTAACTGAGCAGCACTCCTGCTGTGGGAACACAAAGACCACCAGGGGGCAGCTCCTGCATTGAGAGTCTGCTCCCTGGTGGTCAGTGCACATCATAGCAACAGTCATTCCACTGTTCAGTTGATTTGCAGAATAGCCTTTTATTATACACTAGAGGCCCGGTGCACAAAATTCATGCACGGGTGTGTGTGTGGGGGGGGGGGGGTGTTCCTCAGCCCAGCCTGCCTGCAATCTCTCCAATCTGGGACCCCTCAAGGGATGTTCGACTGCCCATTTAGACCTGATCCCTTGAGGGGTCCCAGATTGGAGAGATTGCAGGCTGGGCTGAGGAACATCACCCCCACACCCCACCCCGTACACAAATTTTGTGCACCAGGCCTCTAGTGTATATATATTTTTTGGAGAAAACAGAAAGTAACATTAACCATGACCAGCAAGACTCAACAGAAGACATTCATTAGTTATCTAGCATGAAGAAAAAAATGAGATTTTCCAAGTAAATTACTTCTTTAGGTAACTGATCTTTAATTGACAAAAACCTTTCTCTTAAAACTTTCAATAGAACTTTTAAATGTATAAAAGTTTAAAAGTATAAAAGTATTTCACAACATTTTTGGCAATTTAACACTACTATGGAACTCACTGTCAGTTATTTCACCACATTTGAGGTGCTAAAAATGTTTTCTTTTTACACTTAATTGTTATAAGTACTATGATTGGGGGGAATTTTAAGAATATACATTTTTTAAGGGATTCTGTTCATCTAGGTCAGTGGTTCTCAACCTTCCCAATGCTCTACAGCAGCAGTTCTCAAACCTGTGGGATCCCACAGGTTCAGATCCGCTAGCAGGGTCGCCTAAGACCATTGGAAAACACAAATATTTACATTATGATTTATTAACAGAGCAAAATTACAGTTATGAAGTAGCAACAAAAATAATGTTATGGTTGGGGGTCACCACAACAAGAGGAACTGTATTAAAGGGTTGTGGCATTAGGAAGGTTGAGAACCACTGACCCAAATCATTTGTGTCCAATCTTCCCCCCCTCAGGTGGCTTAGACATTTCTTTCAAATATATGCTTTCAATATTACCAAGATAACAAGGACAGCAAAACCAATCACATCTATGAAGTGACAGGAAATAAGTATTTGGTTAAGAATTTTCACCTCAGACTTTCCTTTAATGCAGGACTTATCAAACTATAGCCAAGCGGCTTAACCTAGCCACAGATTATTTTGGCAAATAAAGCTTTATTGAAACACAGACACATCCATTCATTTACATACTGTTCAGGGTTGTTTTTGTGCTACAATGACAAAGTCACATTGTAAACCATGGGGCCTGCAAAGCCTAAAATATTTACTATTTTATCTATCATAGAAAATATTTGCTGATCCTTGATTCAGGATTTCAGAAAACAAAACAGCAACATTCACCTACATTTGATTAACTTTACCACCTCCAGATGGTTTGAATGAGTCACCAGAGTTCCATTCACCTGCAAGAAAATGAAAATAGTGCATATCAGATACATTCCACAGACACATAGGTAAACTGATTTCAGGAATTATTATGCATAGTATAGTCAATTAGAATACAGTAGATGGGACTATGTATATACTAAAATATGTATAGGTCTGATTCAATATTTCACTTTTACCACTGTCCCATCAGATATACTCAGCAACAAAATTAACTTTAATGCAAAACAAGGCCTTGACTAAAAGGGCATTGCAGTGTATTCACCATGACAGATGATGAAACATAGCGTACCACAGATTTACAAACCTTCACAGTGGATGGCTCTTGCACACAGAAAATATCTCTTTGCCTTTAATTATAAATTCAGTGATTTGTAAAAATCACAATGCATTGTTAAAAGATAAAAAAATTATTTCAAAAATAATATTCAACTTACTTTTAGTTTCCTAATTATGACCTAATTTTTATAAAGAAAATATTTTCAGAGAGGCTAAATGTAGGAAATGTTATCCAGCCGAAACTGGTTTGGCTCAGTGATAGAGCGTCGGTCTGTGGACTGAAAGGTCCCAGGTTCGATTCCAGTCAAGGGCATGTACTTTGGTTGCGGGCACATCCCCAGTAGTGGGTGTGCAAGAGGCAGCTGGTCGATGTTTCTCTCTCATCGACGTTTCTAGCTCTCTCTTTCTCTCCCTTCCTCTCTGTGGAAAATAAAAAAATAAAAAAATCAATAGAAAATGTTATCCAAAGTCTTCACTATACAAAACAAATTAAGGTAAAATTATCAAACACGGATCTAACATTAAAACTACTTTTCTCTGATTTTTATAAGTTAAAATACTATCTATAATAATAGAAGCCTAAGCGGCCATCACAACTGAATGGACAACCAAACAGGCTGTGTGGGGCAACCAGGCTGGCAGGGGGGTTAGCGAGGGGCGACTAAATGACCGGACAGCAGGCTGCAAGGAGCAATCAAGCCTGGGGAGGGGAGTTGGTGGCAACTAGGCTGGCGGGGGGGAGTATGGGTGGAGGTAGTGAGGAGGGACTAAACGATTGAGCAGCAGGCTGTGTGGGGTGAGCAGGCCAGCTGGTGGTTTAGTGAGGGGCGACCAAACCACCAAAAGGCAGGCTGCATGGGGCAACCAGGCCAGCAGGGGTGGCAGTGATGGGCGACAAGGCCGATGGGGGGGTGGGGAGGTAATTAGGGGCAACTAGACCAGCGGGGGGACAGTTGGGGATGACCAGGCCAGCACGGGGGCAGTTAGGGGTGATCAGCAGGCAGGCAGGTGAGCAGTTAGGAGTCAGTGGTCCCGAATTCTGAGAAGGATATCTGACTTCCTGTTTAGGCCCGATCCCCAGGATTGGGCCTAAACCAGCAGTCGGACATTTCCCAAGGGGTCCTGGATTGGAGAGGGTGAAGGCTGGGCTGAGGGGACCTCTTCCCCTTCTAAGAATTTCATGCACCAGGCCTCTAGACTACCAGAGACCACCTTTGTTAACCATGTTTAATCCTAGACACTATTCTAGCACACATACACCACATACACAAACACACAACACCTAAATTATTACTGTCTTTTTTCTATAAATACTTTTCACTATATTGTGTATATCTTTCATTATAGGTACACACATTCTTAAAAGCTGCAGATAAAATGCAATTTATTTCTCTAGCTCTGTTTATGCATATATAGGTTGTTTATAAATTGTCAATATGATGAAGCCGAAATGAATTTCCCTGTACACATTTCATGATTGTATACTTATTTCCTTATATTCCTAAAAACAAATTTGCTGGTCAAAGGTAATATACTTACTTAAAGTACCGTATTTTTCGGACCATAAGACACACTTTTTTCCCCCCAGAAGTGGGGGGGGGAAAGTCCCTGCGTCTTATGGTCCAAATATAGCCTACACATATACTTTAAAAAAAAAAGTTTTTTTACTTGCCCGGCTCTATGTGGTCTCTGTGTGCTTGCCTGGCTCTAAAATGGTTCTAAATGCTGCTGTTTACTTTACAGGGTTGATTACATGTGTTTATGACTGTGATGTTGGGTTTTAATGCACATAAAATATTTTAGGACACTATTTGTTTCAGAATCTTTTTTTCTTCATTTCCCTTCTCTAAAAACTGGTGCGTCTTATTGACCGGTGCATCTTATGGTCCGAAAAATATGGTATATAATTTTTATACATATTCACAAGTCCCATCCAGATTTATACCCATGACAAGCTTATGAGAATAGCTATTTTACCATGCCCAAACTATACCTAATACATATCATCAATCTTTAGAATTTCTGACAACCAGTTATATTTTCGTGTCTTTAATTTAGTAGTGAAGTTGGACATATTCTTATTAATATATTACTTATTTCAATTACTTTGTGGAATTGCCTGACAAAATTATTTGCCCATTTTTCTATTATTCTTTTCTTAGTATAGGTATTTGAAAAGTGCTCCTTATAATTAAGGATATACTCTATAATATGTTTCAAGTATTTTTTGTAAGTATATTCATGGTATCTTTTCCTGGATAGTAATTTTGTTCCAAGAAATCAAATGAGCCTTAGCTGGTTTGGCTCAGTGGATAGTGTCAGCCTGCAGCCTGTGGACTGAAAGGTCCCAGGTTCGATTCTGGTCAAGGGCACCTGCCTGGGTTGCAGGCTTGATAGGGAGGCTTGATTCAGGAGGCAGCCAATCAATGCTTTTCTCTCATCATTGATGTTTCTATCTCTCTCTGTCCCTCTTTCTTCCTCTCTAAAATCAATAAAAATGTTGAAGGAAGGAAGGAAGGAAGGAAGGAAGGAAGGAAGGAAGGAAGGAAGGAGGAGGGAGGGAGGGAGGGAGGGAGGGAGGGAGGGAGGGAGGAGGAGGAGGGAGGGAGGAGGAGGAACCGGTTTCAGCTCTCCATATTATTTTTTAACAAGTAATTCTCATTAAAATATACTGTTAGAATTGGGAAGGTCTGTCATTACTTGTTTGATTATTCTTTCAAATGAACTTTACAAAGATTTAAGTATCTCTGATGAAAAAGTGGTCTGTGGGGAGGGAGGGAGGGAGAGAGGGAGGGAGGGAGGGAGGGAGGGAGCGAGGGAGGGAGGGAGGGAGGGGAAAGGAGGAAAGGAAGGGGGAAGGAAGGGAAGGAAGGGAGGAAGGGAGGAAGGAGGAAGGGGGAAGGGGGAAAGGAGGAGGGAGGAAGAGGAGAAGGGAGGAAGGGGAAAGGGAGGAAGGGAGAAGGGAGGAAGGGGGAAGGGAGGAAGGGTAAGGGGGGAAGGGAGGAGGGAGGAAGGGGGGAAGGGAGGAAGGAGGAAGGGGGGAAGGGAGAAAAGGGGAAGGGAGGAAGAAGAGAGGGAGAAAGGGGGAAGGGGGGAAGGGGGAAGCGGGAAAAGGAGGAAGGGGGAAGGGAGGAAGGGAGGAGGAAGGGAGGAGAAAGGGAGGAGGAAGGGAAGAGAGAGGAAGGGAGGAAGGGAAGAAGGAGAAAGAGAGGAAGGGAAGAAGGGGGAAGGGAGGAAGGGAAGAAGGGGGAAGGGAGGAGGAAGGAAGGGGTAAGGGAGGAAGGGAGAAAGGGGGAAGGGAAGAAGGGGGAAGGGAGGAGGAAGGAAGGGGTAAGGGAGGAAGGGAGAAAGGGGGAAGGGAAGAAGGGGGAAGGGAAGAAGGGGGAAGGGAGGAGGGAAGAAGGGGAGAAGGGAGGAAGGGAGGAAAGGGGAAGGGAGGAAGGGGGAAGGGAGGAGGGAAGAAGAGGAGAAGGGAGGAAGGGGTGAAGGGAGGAAGGGGGAAGGGAGGAGGGAAGAAGGGGAGAAGGGAGGAAGGGAGGAAGGGAGGGAGGGAGGACAGAGGAAGGGAGAAAGGGGGAAGGGAGGAAGAGGTTGAAGGGGGGAAGAGGAGAAGGGAAGGGAAGGGAAAGGGAAGGGAGGAAGGGGGAAGGGAGGAAGGGATGAAGGAAGTCAAAAGAGTCAAGTGTCTCAAGCGCCATGACTGACTAATCCATTCTTTCCTCCTGGTCAGATTCAAGGCTGCTCTGACAGATCTACACCAGACCAGGGACTCTGCCTATCTTAACTCACACCCTGTCACTTACCTCCCCACAGACCACTTTTTCATCAGAGATACTTAAACCTGTAAAGTTCATTTGAAAGAATAATCAGACAAGTAATGACAGACCTTCCCAATTCTAACAGTATATTTTATAATGAGAATTACTTGTTAAAAAATAATATGGAGAGCTGAAGTCGGTTTGGCTCAGTGGATAGAGCGTCGGCCTGCAGACTAAAGGGTCCCGGGTTCGATTCTGGTCAAGGGCATGTACCTTGGTTGCAGGCACATCCCCAATAGGGGGTGTGCAAAAGGCAGCTGGTTGATGATTCTCTCTCATCGATGTTTCTAACTCTATCTCTCTCTCTTCCTCTCTGTAAAAAAATCAATAAAATAGATTAAAATAATAATAATAATAATAATAATGAGAGAAATGATCTTTACTCCATTTATTCAAGCCCTTTTTATGCCTTTCAGTATAGGATAATATTAATTTCTTTAAAGTGAGTTTTTATAGACCACAAATCCAACATATGCTGCGTTTTACAAAAATCCAAGTGGAAAAAAAAATGTGGCTAATGTATGCTGTGTTTTCTTTTTTTAATTCTACCATAAATTCTATAGTGGTTGTTTCCTTACCTTGATGATTCGATCACCTGTCTGTACTCCAGCCCGCATGGCTGCTCCATCTGTAAGAGAAATTAGTTAATTAAGATGTAACTCATTGGCATTGATTGACAAGTTCTTGAAAAAGAGGAGCATAAGGAAGTGCTCACAAACACAGGCTTCAAGTCAGACAGACTGGGGTTCAAATGCTGCCCCTGCCACTCACTAGCTGTGTGACCTAGGACTGCTTTTATGTTTTTTACTCTAAGCCTCAATATTGCCTATATAACGGGGGATAAAAATACTACCTCAAGTCACAGCACCCAGCATGAAGTAAGTATTCAATATACGTAATATCAGTAAAAGATACTGTTGCTGTTTTGGAAAAAGAATAGATATTTTTAAGCCTATAACCCTCTGCTTAATCTGTCTCTACCAAACATCTCTAAAGAAATAATATTCAACAAACTTCTATAAGTGATGATGCATAAAGTATCACAACACAGAGTACTATGATTTCTATAAAGTGCAAAGAAAACCAACTGGGAAACTCATGCCTAAAACTACGATACTAAAGACAAATCTATTATAGCAACACGGCTACATAGCCTGCACTGTGGATGACTGTGTCATTCTGGGCAACAGATTTTATTTGTACTTTTCTGTTCTTACTCTGCTCTCGAGTGACAAGACAGTTTTAAATGCCTTGCCTTCTTTGACAGACTGTACGAAGACTGGGTTGTCTCCACTGACCGTCAGCCCAAATCCATTGTCACCCTTCTGGATGATCACACAGCGCTGAACAAGACCTGCATAGAAAGAACCACAGGACAGAGAGAGGGGAGAGAAAAACAAAGAGAAAAAAGATAATAATTACATAGCAGCAATGAACTGTATTCTTTCTGAAGAAATACCAGGCAGCACATGAAACCCATATAAAAACGAGAGCACTGTCCCCATGAGCAAAACAAACATGAGAACATGACACAGTCATACATATGGTCTCTCACTGCAGAAGCAGCATGGAATGGGCCCAAGATGAACAGCTCTGGCAAACTGGAAAGAAAAAGTATTGGAGAGGAGACAGTCATAAGAAACACCCATAGCACATCTACGCTATTGGTAATATAAAATCTCCCTTACCACCCCGTGTTTTGATGCTCTTAACACCCACCCCCCAAAAAAATGCACAACCAAAACATTTTGGGACATTAAGCTAGAAGCAGCCCATAGTAAATTCTAGAGAAATCCCATCTCCCTCTCAGGGACATATACTCAGAAACACAGACCACATAAAGAAAGAAGGTGCTTGCAGGGTTCCTGCCACTTTTCTCCCAAAAGAAAGAAAAAAAGGGAAAGCTACAAAGGGCAGAAAAACCTTGGCTCAAAGAAAAAGTAAACAGAAAAGATAAAAAAGTAGAAAAAGTAAAGAATCTGTGAGCTCCACCAACTCTTTTATCTCTTTCTGTACTGACCTGACTCCCAGGAGCAGTTATTTTCTTTCCAGTTAAACAGCAAATGAAAATTGTCAAGGCAAGGTGAGAGGAAGAGGGCCCCGTCAAAGGACAGGCATGTCCATGACGGAAGAAGCCTGATTAGTGCCCAGCTCTTTTATTATGAATCAGAGATGAAGATCCTCAACTCTGTATTAACGGAATACTCCATACATACTTCCAGGTTCACAGAATCTAATCATTTCACCAAAAACCCAAATTCAGCCCCAGCTGGTATGGCTCAGTTAGTCTGGCATCATCTCCTGCATCAGAGGTCTCTGGTTGGATTCCAAGTCAGAGCACAAGGCCAAGTTGTGGCTTGATCCCCAGTAGGGGGCATGCAGGAGGCAGCCGATGGATGTTTCTATTCCTCTCCCTTTCTCTTTAAAATCAATAAAAACATATAACATCAATATATAAACAGCTTTAAAACAGTAGGTATAATAATGTTTAGAAAATATTCTTCAAAATAGTAAAGGATTTATACAGAGCCATCATCTTTTACAAAACAAAGAGTATGTTAAAGACTGCTTATTTTTATATACCGTATTTTTCGGACCATAAGACGCACCAGTTTTTAGAGAAGGGAAACGAAGAAAAAAAGATTCTGAAACAAATAGTGTCCTAAAATATTTTATGTGCATTAAAACCCAACATCACAGTCATAAACACATGTAATCAACCCTGTAAAGTAAACAGCAGCATTTAGAACCATTTTAGAGCCGGGCAAGCACACAGAGACCACACAGAGCCGGGCAAGTAAAAAAACTTTTTTTTAAAAGTATATGTGTAGGCTATATTTGGACCATAAGACGCAGGGACTTTTCCCCCCCACTTCTGGGGGGGGAAAAGTGCGTCTTATAGTCCGAAAAATACGGTAGATTTACATAGATTTCTTGCTGTTAATGAAATGTCACACGTATGTGAGCCTACTGCAGATGAAAGAATATAACTAGATGCCAGAATGAAAAATATGAACCTTTAATTTTAACTCATAACCCTATATGAAATTTAACTTAAGCAGATCATGGACCTAAACATGAAGCTAAAATTTTTCATGAGAAAACACAGAAAAAAATCTCCAAGACCTTAGGGTAGGCAGAGATAGTTGAGGATGCAAAATGTACCAACTAGAAAAAAAAAACTGGTAAACTGAACTAAAAACTTAGAACATTTGCTCTTCTAAAAGACACTAAGAAAATGAAAAGAAAAGCCACAGACTGGGAGAAAATATTCACTAAACAAATATGTTTATATCCAAATTACATATTTTAGAAACGCTACAATTTAATAATGGAAGACCTTTTAAACAATGGTTGCCAACCTTTCGGACCTCACAGACCACCGTGGTCTACGGACCACCATTTGGTGAGCGCTGCTTTAAAAGGGACAAAGATTTGAATAAACACATCACAAAGAAATACCAATGCATAATAAGCACATGCAAAGGTGCTCAATATCTACAGGCATCAGAAAAATGCAAATTAAAATCACACTAAGATGCCATGTACACTAACTGAAATGGCTGAGAACAGGAGTGACACCACCAAGTGCTGACACAGCTGTGGAGCAACTAGAATGTTCATACATCCGGAGGGAATGTATATGGTACACTTTGAAAAATAGTTGAGAAATTTCAACATGTATTTATATCTGACCCAGCAATCTCATTCCAAGAGAAATGAAAACTCATATGCATATAAAGACTAATAGACAAATGTTCATAACAGTTTTTTATTCCTAAAACCCCAAAACTTAGGAAATACAGTAAAACAAGAACTAGGCACATGAAGCAAATGAATCACAAAAACATAATGCTAAGCAATGGAAAGTAGATACAAAAGAAGACAGTGAACACTGTTTGATTCCCATGTAAAACAGACAAAACTAAACTACAGTAACAGAACTCAGGCGAGTGGCTCCTGGGGCAGGCTGTGAGAATGAGTGCAAAAGGGACAGTAAGGAATTTGGGAGAGTGATGGGAATGTTCGGTCCTTAATTAAGGTAATGGTTACATGAGTATATTCATTTGTCAAAACTTACTGAACTGCACACTTAAAATGGATATATCTCATTTTATGTAAATTGTACATCAAGAAGTTGATTTTCAATATTAAATATGTCACCACTCAACTCAAGAAACTACTAAATACTAAATAGCATTTGAATTTACCACGCCCACAAAACAGTCAATTGTAATGAGGGTAGGGGGAAGACAGCCCATCAAAATCAACCATTCAACCATTTTCCTTTGCTTAATGTTGCTTCCTTCAAGTAACTAGAAAAAACTATAAATGGAATGGATATGAATACAAAAAAAAAAAAAAAACAACTAAGAAAAAGGCATTCTTTATAAATTTCTAATATGGAATACAACAAATACATGAATGAGAGAACCTCAAAATAGATCAAGCTCAGTGTTTTACAGGGAGCTTTAAAACCCCTGGTTTTATCCAGTCCTCCACGGAAGGGCACTTCAGCTGTTTCCATGTCGTGGCACCATGAACAGTGCTTAGGGGGCGCCTATATTGCTGTGAATACATGATTTCGAGGTTTTCAGGTGTATACCCAGGGGAGGGATGGCTGGACCATGCACACACAGTGGAATACTACTCAGCATCATAAAGGATGAAATAGCGCCACTTGCAACCACAGGGCGGGACCTTGAGAGCAGTGTGTGAGTGAAGTCACAGTGAGCAAATCAGAGCCCTAGGACCTCACTCCCGTGTGGGACATAAAACGGAAACTGGTGGCACACAGCACTGGTGGCTGTCAGAGGGAAGGGGATGCAGAGAAGGCTTCCTGATATGAGGTGAATATGAGGGATCTGACTCTGGGTGGCAGGCACACGGTGCCATACACAGATCCTGTCCCAAAGAAACCCACACCTGACACCCGTATGTTTATGTGGACCAATGGCACCCCAATAAATGTAATTTTAAAAATGTGATTTTGGCCGAGACCGGTTTGGCTCAATGGATAGAGCGTCGGCTTGGGGACTGAAGGGACCCAGGTTCGATTCCGGTCAAGGGCATGTACCTTGGTTGCAGGCACATCCCCAGAAGGTGGTGTGCAAGAGGCAGCTGATCGATGACTCTCTCTCATCGATGTTTCTAACTCTCTATCTCTCTCCCTTCCTCTCTGTACAAAATCAATAAAATGTATTTTTTTAAATGTGGTTTTGAAAACATAAATACCCGATGTCCTCCTTTCCAGAGTTACTTGAAATTTCAAAATGAATTATATATTATGACTTTAAAATAAAAATCAAGACAACTACAACATTGAATACACGCGCACACGAGCGCACACACACACACACACACACACACACACACTTCATACTATATCCACCCCCCAGTTCTCCCACCAGCTGCAAGTCAGTAAAGTAAAGGTTCTAATCTTGGTGTTCATTGTGCTCAGCCACTCACAGACTCATCATCAGGTTACTTTAGAGCAGCAGTCACCAATCTTTCAGACTTCACAAACCACCGGTTGGCGACCGCTGCTTTAGAGAACCGGGTGCTGGTGAAAATGAAAGCGAGTGAAGGTTAAGAGTTTGTGTTTCACTGTAATACAATGAGCATGAAGTAATTATTTAATGCCTGACACATACTAAGGGTTCATAAATGTTAAGTATTATCAATATAAAAGGCTAACATAATATGCTAAGTGTCCCCTTGGGAGTTCAACCAGGAGACCCGGAGTTTGATCACTTGCTATGAAATGTGATGACCACCAGAGGGCAATACGAAATGAAAGAAGGCCCAGCTGGCAGCCAGGGAAGGATGGCCTGGGCCAGCAGTGGGAAGGCCCTGATTGGCCCTACTCATGCACGATTTCGTCCCCCAGGCCTATAGTTTTATTATGATTGAAGGTAAGCTGCCTTTGGACTTTCCTCACCAGATATAGAGCCATCAGTTAAAAACCAATTAATGCCTGTATGTTTGTTAACTAACTCCTATCATTTTTGCAATTTCTCCTTTAAAAAGAACAATCCTCATTTATGTCTTTGTCTAAATTTTACTTTAACAGATAAGCAAATTAGTTTTAAATGGGACAGGAAGAGAGTAGAAAATTTAACAGAGCAGGGTTTCTAGGAATAGGTAACTTCAGAAGATGAGACAATAGAAAAGCTACCAGAAACAATCACCTCCTCTTAGAAGCCTTTTCCGATTGTCCAGCCTGGAGGAGGGGCGTCCCGATGGCCCCTGCACCTCTGATTACCCACAGTGCCATCTGACTTACACTTGTCTTGTCCTTTCCTCAGAGCATATGCTCCAGGAAAAGAACAGGCTCTATTTTGTTACAGTCTATGTCAGGACCTGTGAATTGTCTGGCACAGGAAAAACTTTTTTTTTTAAATTGCTAATAAATGAAAACTGGATAAATAGAAGAGTCTAGGGAAAGGATGGAAACTCAAAAAGGTAGGTGATCTAAGAGGGGAAAAAATACCAGTACACACAGTCAACTTTAGCAAACAGACCCAGGGCCCTAACAGACTTTTAAGGGTTGAGTAAATATAACAGGATTCCCTCAAAATACTGCAAATCTGTTTTCTCCAATTCAAAATTGTTCAGTCTAGTAACTTTCCCTTTAACTCTATCTAAATCAAAAGGAGAATATGGAGGCCCTAGATGGTTTGGCTCAGTGGATAGAGCATTGCCTGCAGACCCAAAGGTCCCAGGTTCCATTCTGGTCAAGGGCTCATGCCTGGGTTGTAGGCTCGGTCTAACATGCAAGAGGCAGCCAATCAATGATTTACTCTCATCATTGATGTTTCTCTCTCTCTCTTCCTCTCCCTTTCTCTATGAAATCAATGGAAATATATTTTTTTTTTTTAAAAAGAAAAAAAAAAAAGATGGAGAACAAAGGAGAAAGAACGATATGCACACCTTAGTCCCCTGTCTCTTCTCCCCAAACCCACAACATTGTCCATGAGTTATTAGGACATATGCTAACCTATGAATCTGATGTCTTTTAATATATAAGAACTAGAAGCCTGATGCACGAAGATTCATGCAAGAATGGGCCTTCCTTTCCCTGGATACTGGCACCTCCTTTCCACTCCA